GAGTAGGATGCATATCCAGTACAAGCTAGAAATACCAATGCTTCTATTACTTTTGGACTTTGAGTCATGATCATGGCAAATTTTAGAATTACTAGTGGGGGGGCAGAGGGATCCCTTATGCACTCTTGTGTCTAATATCAGTAAAAAAAAACGCAACCGTAAAGGAAAGAAGGTCAGACCCTTGTCAAAAAGGAAAACTTTAAATAATTTTGGAACGAGTAGACGGAACGTAATGAGCAATTGCTGGCCAGATAGACACGCAGCCTAAAGCCATCGACTGCAGCAGAACAAACAATACAACAGTTGAATGTTGTGATAGACACAAGCAACGTCGTAAAGCTTTCTGCTTTATAAATCGGCAGCGACTGTGTTGTCTTCAGAGTTGTATGTTTTTAAGCCCCTTGGGTCACATTAACCAGGCTCAATCATCAGCATCAACACAGGAGGGCTCTGACATAACACAAGTTCTATTTTTGTTTTCAATTTTATGACACAAATATCTCTTTATCATTGAAGCTTGACAGCTAAAAGAAATTGTTCGACACTTGCCAGCTTTCAATTGCAACTGCTCTGTGAAAGAAGAGGGACTAACTGGAAAATTACTCTTAGCGATTCACTGTGTAACTGTTTGACTCTACTTACTTCTCATTTATTCTTCATCAAGAAGAAAGTGGCACCTTATAACCCTTTTTTGTTCACATATCACCTAAGAACCAGAATTGCTGAGCACTTAGCTCTATATTTTGAAAATTGTTGTTTGTTGTCTTATCGCAGGCCCTGATCCATGGTTCAGGATAGCATTAGTTGAAGGCCCCACTCAACCCAAAAGAAGAAAATTGCATACGATAATTGCAAAAAGAACTTTGGACTTCAGCCAACCTGTGCAGTAGACAGGTTTGTTTTACTTTGTTCTGTTTCAAAGAACGGTGATGGCACAGGATTCAGCCAGAATGCCCTTCTTAAACCATTCAGTAATTACCTTGTAATACAACTATATAAACACTTATTACTTAGCTTAAGTTTTGAATCTTTTGATGGCAATTTTAAATATTAAATAGTCAAAATGTTGTCTGTGCGGAGTTTGAACATCACAGGGATGCTGCTAAAACTATAGGTTGTATTATGTTGTATTAAAAGCCTTTGTTTCTTTGAAGGATCTACAACAACATCTCATTCTAGTCCCTAGTTCACTGCGAGGACTTCAGCCTTAAGCTGCGATTCTTTAGGAAGTCCTGTTCAGGTGGCTTATTCTCCTGTTTCACCAGTTGTATGCTGCACTCTTGTAAAAGCGAGACACTGCTAACTCAGGTATGAATAGAATAACATCAATAATTTTACCGACCATTGTTGACATAACAATTAATGCGTAAACAGGTGCACTAAAATTTAAGCAAACTTTCTAATATCTGCTTTTCACCTTCTTGGATGTAACCTTAACAATTCAATTTTTCTGCAGGGTCTATTCTAATATGGAAAGTAGCGGCTGTCTCTGGGACTGGAAAACAGTCTTGCGCTTTAGTTAGCCTTAGTACATTAAAGTAATCCCACTGAAGAGGCTGTCACTGCTCCAGGTAATTGAAAGAAAACAAAGTACCACCTGCTGGCAAAATTATCTAAGAGTCCAAGGTGTAGATGACAATTTTAAGACATTAAATGTGGTTATAGAAGGCAAAATGTGTCATGTTTGACTTTAAAAAAAATATTTGTATTACAATAGTAGCCACAAAGATACTTTGAATTGTTTCACTTACACCTTACACAGATTACTGCAGCTGGTTAAAAGATAATTTGTGTTTTGTCTGTAAAAATGTATTTTATTTCCAGGTTCTCCAAATCAAGAACTAGTAGCAACTATCAGTCACAAGACACCAACTAAGCCAAAAGCAGAAAACTAAAACTGCTTGGTCACCATGGTATCTGTCCTGGTGAAAATAAAGGTAAAAAGTTAAAGCAATATACTTTTCAGACATTTTAAGATTTACAATTGCTTAATTTTTGTGTGACTCATTCACACTTAACTTACTTGGGAAGGATTGTTTTCATTATATATAATTTTTATTTCAGCAGGTGACTTTGAGTTCAGAACATTGTAGTTGTGCAAGTGCAGTTGTAAGACAGACCACTGATAATGCTGAAAACTCAAGAAGTTTATGTCTGTAAAACTACTTTTCTGAATACTTTATCAATGGGGATATTTCATGATGGATAGTGATACTAGTATTTGCTGCAACTGGAGTCCAAACTTCTACTGACAAGAGAGGCAAGCACTTCGATTGCATTGAGCAAAAGTGAAGGTTGTCAAAGCTAATGCCTCCACCGTTGGAGCCCTGACTTATTAAAATGACGATGGTGGGAATGAGATAACTGTCGATACATGACTTCACAATGTGGGGCGTCCAGTACGACTGAAAATTTACCTGTGACTTCTGCTTTACTTCGGAAAACCCTAGCCAATCCTTCTAAGTACCATGGATTTTGTGAAAATGTTGTAAACAGTGTCAAAGAAAGTTTTGGTAGTAATCGATGGAGAGAGAATGAAGAAGCAGTTGACAATGAAGTATATTGAAAGAGAAGAAACAGAGAGGAAGCAAATGAACAGAGAGAAATTGAAGAAAAAGAAGAATTATAATGAAGGCTCTATATGTTCAAAATAATTGTGATACCTCAGGCTTTGTATAATAACTTCTGTTCCTATTTATAAGTTTTTACTTTGTCATTGTTCCCTTTATCTTTATGTACCTTAAAACAATTAGCAGTGCACTGATCTAATGTAGTGTGATATAAACCCACTGTTTAGTATTTCTGATTGGCTAGTCATTAATGTTAATTTGATACATTCATTTACTTTAGTTTTAAATTTTCATCTTCTTAAATTTGATTCCCTATAGGCAAATTCCTATATGGCCTAGTGTTGTCAAAACTGCGATTTTACTGTTGTCTATTAAACATGGTAACTAGTACTTCTATGCCAAAAGAATCATTTTCCTCTAGCCTTTGATGTACTGAATAACACTTGGTCAGTATGACTTTCAACCTACTTGACCTGCTTCTGGCTAATCATTTTGAATAAGGCAAGTTCTTTCTTGGAAACATGTGCCAAAAAGCAGATATATTTGACTAATGAATCATATCCACATCCGCCACCAAATTTTAATTTTGTCAACATGACTGACATGTTTGTCATGAATAGATCAATTATATTCTGAAGTAGCTGTCCATGATTTGAAAATTAGAATAACTTACTTCTTATGACTTTGATTCATAAGTTTCTCACTTCCCCTCTCCAAAATTAATTGTTTCCGCTCACAACTGTGCTGTTCTTTTCTGCAATTAACCAGAAAGAGAGGAGAGTCCTACGTTTCATTGGCACAGACTAAGTAATGATTGTGGAAGCACCCTTTTACTCCTACTCAAAATACCTTCCATACATAATTAATGAACAAAGCCAATCATCCTGGATTGTGTGAGTCCATGTATTTGGACAAAAATTGATCATTTATACTGTAGGTAGCAAAGCACAATAGAAAATTGATCAAAGTTGTATTTGAAGGCTTGTTTAACTGTAGCCAAGGCTTGGGTGGCACCCTTTGAAAGTTTTCCTAGTGCATATGAATTAATCTCATGGGCAGAGCATTTTAAAACACTCTGGAGCAGACAATGACAACAAACGATTCAGTCAAACTTTTCTTCTGGTTATCTTATTTGGTGCGGTCCAGCAGCAAAGTGTTCATGGGTTTTGGTTTGAGAAAAGAGTCCCTAGCAAAAGGTAGATGAAGAAATAGAGATGCATTGAATTTCAGTAATGTTTTTTATTACAAACAAAATGCAACAAATACAAAAAGTAAACAGAGACAACATCTTGAAAAGTGTCAAGAAATAAAAGACATTAAGCGTCAAGTCAAGCCCAATTTTTAAAACAGGAGGCAAAACTAAAATCAGGCACACACTAAGGATTAAGAGGACTCTAAAATAAAGACCATACGACCAAAGAAAGTAGACCGCATATACTACATGATAAGATCATGTACAATTATTAACTAATGTAACATTCGGTACAGGGTGGTCTACAAACACAAAAACAAATGAGGCAAGACAAAGGTCATAAGACCAAAGAAAATAAACAAATCCTAAATGATCAAAGATCATTTAAAAAATTATCAAAGAAGGAAACACCATTTGGTGTACAGGGTGGTCTACAAATACAATTAAGAAATATGGCAAGACCCTTCAGTTGCAAGAACTATACGCTAATGGAGGGACAGCAAAATCAAACTTAAGTTTAGATCAAAGCACTGCGCCCGGCTCATTCACGGTATACCCAACTCTTTGAACCAAACAGCCGAAAATGATGTCACACCAAAAGGTACAAGAAATAAGGCAAGACAAAGGTCATGAGCAAGACCAAAGAAAATAAACAAATCCCTAATGATAAAGATCATTTGAAAAATTATCAAAGAATGAAACACCATTGGTTTACAGGGTGGTCAACAAATTCAATTAAGAAATATGGCAAGACCCTTCAGTTGCAAGAACTATACGCTAATGGAGGGACAGCAAAATCAAACTTTAGTTTAGTTCAAAGCACTGCGCCCGGCTCATTCACGGTATACCCAACTCTTTGAACCAAACAGCCGAAAATGATGTCACACCAAAAGGATAAGAACTGAACTTCAAGATAAAGCAAAGCTCACCAAGAAATAAATTTAAAAGCTGGAATGTAACCCACACAATTTGTCATAAATGGTAGAATGACAGAGGCAAAACCCATAAAAAGGCAAAGATAAGATCCTAAGGGAACGATAGGATGATTACATAAAAATATTTAAGAATATGCACCAATATGTGCGTATAAGTCTAAAAACGTTTTAACACGAAAAGGAATAAGAAATGTCAGATGTAACAACGTGACAGAAAACACATTGAGCAAGTCAAACCCCAAGATTGAAAATAAAGAGGCAACAGCAAATAAAACCAAGAATAAAAAAACACAGAAACAAAGGTCATAAGCAAGACCAAAGAAAATAAACAATCCCAAATGATCAGGATCATATGAAAAATTATCAAATGAATGTAACATTATTTGTGTACAGGGTGGCCTACAAACACAATTACAATTAAGGCAAGACCCTTAAGTTGCAAAGACTATACGCTAATGGAGGGACATCAAAATCTAACTTAAGTTTAGGTCAAAGTACTGTGCCCGGCTCATTCACGGTATACCCAGTTCTTTGAACCAAACAGCCGAAAATGATGTCACGCCAAGAGGAATAAGAATTGAACTTGAATTTACCAAAAAAAAAAATAAAAAAAATTGAAGTCTCATACCTTTATAAAAGAAAGAGCAAGTTAAAATTTGGCCTTAAAAATTTTGTTATATCGTGTCTTGCAGACCGGACACACATCCTTTGGCTTATTATGCTGTTCCTCTCTTTTAGCCCAACTTTCAATGCATGTCTTGTGAAATGTGTGGCCACAAGTAGTAGAATACAGCTCTTTTCTTCCTTTTTCTAGACAGATATAACACTGAGCAGGTTCTCTTCCTGACCCTGCAAAAATGGAAAAGTACAATGAACTTACTGGAAAACACACAACCAAGATGTAACAACTTGCAGAATGGACATCACATACCTTTCTTCTTCTTTGAGTTGTCACCCTTAGCAGCTCCCTCCTGCTGTCCTGGAGTCTTCAACTTGACAGGAGCCTCCAAGGTCGAAGACAAGTTGGAAGTTGGGTTGTCAAGAAACGACCAGTCCCTCTCTGGAGAGGGAGGTGGAGCACGACAGCTGTGAGAAGGCTTGGCAGCATTTTCTCGACGATCTCTAAAGTTGGAAGTGGAGGGTGACTGACGACGGCTTCTTCGCTCAGCATGATCTGGACTCCTGCCTCGGACAGGAGAAGACTTGCGGCTATCCAAAGGCAAGATGGCTGACTCACGCCAGTTTCTCTGAGGTGAAGACTTCTGTCGAGAAGAATTGGTGTGACTAGATGATCTTCGGTACTTAGAGCCACTAGGGTAAGTATCAGTTGGTTCTGGTGAATGGTGCCTTCTTAAAGAATTAGACTCCTCTTGCCTCCTAGCAAGAGAGCGTGGAGGTGAAGGGTTGTCAAGGAACGACCAGTCCCTCTCTGGAGAATCTCTGCCAGCAGGAATCGAAGTAGGACGAGAACTTCTGACTGAGTTTGATGGCCAACCACGGAAACCATTGAAGATCCTTTTTTCATGCCTTGGAGGAGTGGAACTGTCAAGGTGAGACCAGTCCCTCTCTGGAGAAGCAGTGTCACCAAGTGGCAATGGGGAATGACGGCGATCTCTGAACCTTGACTCATGTCTTGAATTTCTTGGAGATACATCATTGAATGACCAATCCCGCTCAGGAGACACAGTGTGATTAACTGGAAGTGGAGATCTCTTCCGACGAGGAACAGCACCACCAACTGAAAGGGAGCGACGAGGTGAGGAAGCTGCTTCACTGGAGTCAACATCCTGGACTCGTGATGGAGCAGACAATGTTGGGTCAGCAGATGTGGACTGGTCCATGGAGGAAAGGCCATAGGGGGCATTTGATGAAATTGGCCCCTCAATTGCATCTTGCTCTTTGAAGACAGTATAAACCTTCATAAAAACTGGAAAAAAAAAAATAGAATTAAAAACAAAATGGAAACAAGTTACATATGAAAACCAAAGGAATTCACATCTTACAGGCCAAATGTTCAGGTCCAAACGATGCTGGTGTCACTGGTTGACTCGCACCATTCATCGCAGAGACTGGGACAAGCTGCAACTGACTACTGTCACTTGTTTGAGTGGCTGCGTCCCTCGTCTGGTGAGGACTCGTTTGAGTGGCCGCGTCCTTGGAGTCGTAATCCGTAAAGGTTGCCGCGTCCTTCTTGTCAGTATGAACGAGAGCAGTGGACTCGGTCGGTGCTCCACCGAGTGCAGACATCCGCTTTAATCGAGCATCCCTCATCCTGCGCACCTCGTCGTCGTCCATCTGAGCAAATCAAGAACAAGCATGTGGTCAGGAATTTGACTTCAAACAGCAGTGAAGGAAAAACGGCGACGGTACATCGATAACACTTAACCTATCACCGCCCGCCCCCCAACGAAAAACGAACGGGGACCATCAAAACCCCAACTTGCACGCTGCTCAAACCGAGAAATCTAAACGTTCTGATTGATTTGCCTTGACCAAAGGGCCGGAGAGATGGGGCTGCGAGTTCGCACGAGGCCACATCCCATGTGCGCACGCCAGGCCCGGTCTATCGTACAAGCGATAGAGGCACGAGACTCAAAATGCAATACAATATACTGCGAGGGATTGGACTTACTTTCAATGGAAGAATGTGGGTGATGAAATCACACGGATCTGCCGGCAGATTCAATCGGATATGCCAAACGGTCGATGAATGGCAAGATGGATGGCGTGCGTTGCGCTCGGCCTCCCCTGTGAAAATGAATGAGAAGGAACCGGAAAGCGGAGGATGAGGAGGGAGGAGGAGGGGGAGTGAAGCAGTGCTGCCAAGCTAAGCAGTTTCACGCCAACCGGGATTGTTTTATTTTATTTTTTGTTTCTCAAAGAGTTAAGAAACCCTCAGGACTGTACGAAATCCACCAAAAATCTTCTGTGATGACTAATGGTAGAAAATAAACTCTCTTGTGAATTTTGTTGCGGTTGTCGCGGCTGTCTGACTCGCTTGAGGTATCACTGGGAAGGGGAGGGAGAGGGGGGGGGGGGGGCAGAGGGATCCCTTATGCACTCTTGTGTCTAATATCAGTAAAAAAAAACGCAACCGTAAAGGAAAGAAGGTCAGACCCTTGTCAAAAAGGAAAACTTTAAATAATTTTGGAACGAGTAGACGGAACGTAATGAGCAATTGCTGGCCAGATAGACACGCAGCCTAAAGCCATCGACTGCAGCAAAACAAACAATACAACAGTTGAATGTTGTGATAGACACAAGCAACGTCGTAAAGCTTTCTGCTTTATAAATCGGCAGCGACTGTGTTGTCTTCAGAGTTGTATGTTTTTAAGCCCCTTGGGTCACATTAACCAGGCTCAATCATCAGCATCAACACAGGAGGGCTCTGACATAACACAAGTTCTATTTTTGTTTTCAATTTTGTGACACAAATATCTCTATATCATTGAAGCTTGACAGTTAAAAGAAATTGTTCGACACTTGCCAGCTTTCAATTGCAACTGCTCTGTGAAAGAAGAGGGACTAACTGGAAAATCACTTTTAGCGAATTCACTGAGTAACTGCATTTGAGATTGATTCAATACCTCCAGCAGGTTTTCTTACTTTTCTCTACGCAGCAGGCAGTACATCATCAATAGATAATACTTTCTCAGGACCTACATGACAAAGAGTGTATAAATAAGATTTTCTAATGCCCTCATCGTGTCATTCTTAGCTTTTGGTATTGTTCTCTGGGGCAATGGAAATTATAAAAAAATCTGCGCCATTATCTCTCTCCAAGGAAACAAAAAACTTGCAGTGACAATCCTTCACAACATCCAAGTCCCATCTGTTGCGTGCAGAGGAGTTTTTAAAGGATTTTGTTCATATTCAATCTGGTTTCGAAGAAAATAATTCAGAAATGACAAAAAATTTGTATAAAAATATGTAAAATCTTATAAAAAAGTTTACTTCTACAGTTTTGCCTAGACCCTGAAAATCCTGTGTCATTTTAAAGGTTTGAAAAAGACCAATAATTTAAGCCATCATATGCCTGCCTACCTCCTCTGATATTGAAAAAAATCTTGCACGCAAAGTTTTTAAGATTTTTGGCAGCAAATCTTAGATCTGCTCTAGGTACCTGATTTCAATTGCGATTTCAAATTTCTCAAGTGAAATATTTTCAGTAAATGTCCCTACAAATGGTGGTTATGTCTGTGTAAGCCAGCCTCTATAATGCAGCATTTCTAGCAAAATGCAAATGTGCTGATCTCACTGTAAGTAAAGCATATAGCCATAATACCAGGAGGGACAAAATATACAGAGATAAAACTCCTACTTGGTCTTGTAAAAATAATATTCTACCGTCAGAGTCAAGACAAAGAGGTATTTCAATCAACATACATACTTTGAAGAGCTTAAAATGCTCCTCTTCGGTACAGACTATTACTCTACAGCAGAGTTTGAAGCTAATGGCAATAATAAGATTCTACTTGAGGTTTTAATATATCCTGTAGACCCCTGCGCTGTGATATTGCTATATATATTATTGTCTTGTTTCTCACCAAATCCTGTGAATCTTGAGCTGTGACATAGCTATCCTTGACTATAAAATTGTCCCTGAATTTGCTTTTTTGAATAAAACTGAACTGAAATATCAAATATGAAATTGTTTATTTAACAATACCTAACAGCAAGACATGCCTCCACACACAACAGTACATCTGGTCTCTATTACGATGAATGAAAAACTTCTCTAAGTATTTGTGATTACAATTTCATGGTAGCTGAGTAATGGTATTCCATAGCAGATGCAAGGATGAATAATGGACAAACAGTTTCTTCACCTTACAGCAACGAGTGCAAGCAGTTCAGATAGATGCGGCATTATGGTGAAGGACTTACATGTATCAAATACTTAATACATAAAATCTTTCTTTCACAAGTTGGCCATAGCATTCATTGCACCACCGTTCAGACATTCGGAGAGTGTTTAGATTTGTTTTCAAAAGGTCACCAGCATAAAGAGTAAAATCATGAAATACCAATGCTTTTATTACTTGAACATTAAATATCATAGCAAATTTTAGAATTAATGGACCAAACTAGCTTGAGTAAAAAGTTTAACATAGTAAAAGAGTGAGAGAACTCAAAAACAAAGGTCATAGACAAGACCAAAACACATTAAAAGATTGAAAAGAAACAAAGGTCATAAGACCATAGAAAATACAATCCAATATGATTACCATTAAAAGTAAGATTGTCAGATATTCTAACACACAAGGGTAGTTTACAAGCACAATTAACAAATAAGGCAAGCCATTCACTTGCGATAGCACCTGTTCTGTTAGGGAGACAACGTATTCTGACTTTTGTTTGGTTCAAGACCAATTCACAGTATACCAAATACTTTGAAACTAACGTCTGAAAATGTTGTCACACCAAAAGGAATGAGGATTGAACATGAAAATGAAGCAAGCACAGAAAAAAGGAAATTTAAAAGAACTGGATTGCATCCAACACAAATAGGTCATTAATGGTAGAGTGACCAAGGTAAGACTCATAAAAGGACACAAAATTAAATCCTATAGGAAAGATTAGGGTAATTACATAAAGCTATTACACAAGTATGCACTGACATATGTTCACTGCAAGCAATTCTAAAAAGATGCTGAAACAAGGTGATCAAGAAGTTACACACATGGAGTAGGATGCATATCCAGTACAAGCTAGAAATACCAATGCTTCTATTACTTTTGGACTTTGAGTCATGATCATGGCAAATTTTAGAATTACTAGCCCTGACTAGTTTGAGTACAATAAGTATTTATCATTGACTTATGGCAATTATTAAAGTACATAGAACTTGCTATTGCAAATGGTGCCACTAAGTCACACAGCCATGATTACAGAAATGTGCTACCTGCATACCCAGGAATACTCAGAAATTTTGAGGCACAATTACCCTGTATTGTCAGACATCAGAGTGAATTAAGAAAAATGAGCAAGTCAAACCCAATTAATCAAGGGGGGCAAAACTAATATAGAACCATGAATGTGACACAACGCCAAAACAAAGGGTCT